GGGTGTTAGGGAGGAAGCTGGCCCATCTCTGTCTCCTTCCCTTGTAGCAAGGTGCTTGGTGAGGCCTCCTCAGTGACAGAGAGTGGGGAACCCAGGGACCTGGAGAAGTAGAGAGCTGGACCTGATGAGTCTTAATTCAGACACGATGTTAACACACGGAGCCAGGATCCTGGGTAAAAGAATCATGTCCAGTGCAAAGAGCACAGAGGATCTTTCGAAATTCACACATTGTTAATGAATTAAGGGTCATTGTGCATTTAACAAAGAGTCCTGGTAGCACGGTCCTTGGGACTTGGCTGCTATCTGCAAAGTGGGCAGTTAATACCATGTGGGAGAGACATGTGGCAGCCAGCTTCCACAGAGACTTACAGCTTTGCAAACTCTGGTGAGCAGTTTTCTCTGTCCTGTAGTTGCTATGAAGTTCTGGGGGCATAATGGTAAGGAATTGTACTGCCAACTCAAAGGCAAGTGGTCCAAACCCACCAGCTGCTGCAGGAAAGAAAAATGGGCAGTCTCCTCTTGTGTGATTTGTTCTTCTGATGTGCCATTGAGTCGACTCTGACTCATAGTGACCCTGTGTACAACGGTTCTCTGCTCTATCTTGAGCTAATTTCATCATCTCTGATATACCTAGTCCATTACCCAACTCACTGAGTCAATCCATCTCATTCAGGGTCTTATTCTTCTGGGCTATTCCTCCACATGATGTCCCTCTCCAAGGACTGGTCCATCCTTGCAACATGCCCAAAGTATACCAAACAGAGCTTCAGAATTCTTGCTTCCAAGGAACAGCCTGGTTTCACCCTGTCTAGGACAATCATATTTGTTCTCTTAGCAGTCCATTAAATACTCTTCTCCAGCACCACACCTCAAAGACATTGACTCTTCTTCTATCATTCTTAGTCATTGCCCAGCATGCTGATGTATAGTGAATAATTTCAAAGACCATGGCCTGAATCAGACACACCTTAGTCACCAGACTGACATCATTGCTCTTCAGTACTTTGGTGAGGTCTCTCACAGCAGATTTTTCCAATGCAATTCATCTTTTGCTTTCCTGATTGCTGGTATCAAGAGTGCTGATTGTGGCTCCAAGCTAACTAAAGCTGTTAACAACGATGGTGCCAATTGACCCACTGGTGAGAAGCTTTTGTTTTCTTGGTGTTGAGCCTCAATCCATATTGAAGGCTGAAATCCTTGACCTTCTGCAGCAAATGTCTCTCAGATCCTCCTCAGTTTCAGCAAGCAAGGTTGTTTTATCTGCATAATGCAGGTTGTTGATGACTCTTTCTCCAGTTCTGATGCCTCATACCTCCTTCATAGAGCCAGCCTCCAGAGAGATCTGTTCTACACATAGATTGAAAAGGTATAAGGGGAGCTCTGGTAGTCTAGTGGCAAGAAGCGGCACAGCAATCCCAGAGGTATGTGGTTTGAATCCACCAGATGCCCTGCTGGAGAAGGAGGGACAATCTCCTCCTGTACCAGTCAGATCTGATTTGATGGTACACACACACAACATAATAATTAAAAAATTTAAAAAAAGAAAAGGTATAAAAGTAGGGCACATCCCTGGCATACACCTTTCTTTATTTTGAAACATGCAGTGTTTCCTTGCTCTGTTATGAGGACTGTTTCCTGGTCCAAATACAGGTTTTGCATAAGCACAATCAAGTGTTCTGGGATTCCCATTCTGAATTAGGCACAGTTTGTTGTGATCCACACAGTCAAATGTGATTTGCTGTTGTTGTTGTTGTTATGTGCTGTCGAGTCGCTTGCGACTCATAGTGACCCTATGTACAACAGCCCTAAACTCTGCTCTGTCCTGTGCCAATCGCACTGTCTCTGACAGTCCCATCCCGATTATCCCAGTCACTGAATCAATCCACCTCATAGAGGGCCTTCCCCTCCTGCGCTGTCCCTCCACCCTCCCAAGCATGATGTCCTTCTCCAAGGACCGGTCTCTCCTCACAACATGTCCAAAGTATGTTAGATGGAGCCTCAGAATCCTTGCCTCCAAGGAGCCACCCGGTTTAACCCTCTCCAGGACAAATCTGTTTGTTTTCCTAGCAGTCCATGGTATTCTCAATACTCTTCTCCAGCACCACAGCTCAAAGGCATCAATTCTCCTTCTATCTTCCTTGGTCATTGTCCAACTCTCTGATGCATAACAAGGGATTGCGAAGACCATGGCCTGTATCAGACGCACCTTACTCTCCAGAGAGACACCATTGCTCTTCAGTATTTTGGAGAGGTCCCTAACAGCAGACTTTCCCATAGCAATGCACCTTTTAATTTCCTGGCTGCTGGTGCCAAGACTGTTGACTGTGGAGCCAAGCAAACTAAATCTGTGTACAATCTCAATCTCTTCACCATCCATCCTGATGCTGCCAATTGGTCCAGTGGTGAGAATCTGTCTTCTTGATGTTGAGCTTCAATCCATATTGTAGGCTGCAGTCCTTGGCCCTCTGCAGCAGGTGCTTCAGGTCCTCTTCAGTTTCAGCAAGCAGGGTTGTGTCATCTGCATAACGCAGATTGCTGATAAATTGTCCACCAATCTTGACCCCACGTTTCTCCTCATAGAGCCCAGCCTCCCGGATAATCTGTTCTGCATATAGGTTGAAAAGGTATGGAGATAGGATGCATCCCTGGCGTACACCCGTCCCAATTTTGAACCATGCAGTGTTCCCTTGCTCTGTTCTGATGACTGCCTCCTGGTCCAAGTATAAGTTTTGTATTAGAACGATTAAGTGTTCTGGGATTCCCATTCTTTTCAGAGTCAGCCATAGTTTGTTATGATCTACACAGTCCAATGCCTTTGCATAGTCAATGAAACACAGATAGTCATTCCTCTGGTATTCCCTGCTTTCAGCCAAGATCCATCTAACATCAGCTACAATATCCCTAGTACCACGACCTGAAAACCTGCTGGAGGGTCAGCATTGAGTCAGTTCCAACTCAAAGACACTTAATGGCACCACAGCATTGCTATGAGTTAGAATCTACTTGTGGACAATAGACTTCGTGATTTTTCCCCCCATTTTTTAAATTATTCTGTCTTTTCTTTCTTTTTTAAAAAATGATAAACATAATTTAATGATTGGAACATGGAATGTACATAGTTGGTTAGTTGTTGTTGTTGTTGTTGTTGTTGTTAGATTTCCATTCATTCCATTCATTCATTATTGCACATTTTCCCCCCTGCTTCCCCTTACCCACCCCAGTTCACTTTTTTCTTTGGAAAAAAAAATATTTCATTGTTATACAGTCGTTACACCCCCCTCTGACCACTTTACTATGCAATTCTTGTTCTGGACTCTTGTCATGCCAATAATACCTAATCATATGTTCCATTTATACAGTTCTGTCTCTCATCTGTTTCAATGCCATTTGCATTATTTATTCCCTCTTTTCTTAGTTTCCCCCCAAACCCCATATCTGTCCTGTTCTATAACAGTGGCATTATACAGTATTTGTCTTTTAGTGACTGAGATATTTCACTCAGCATAATGACCTCCATGTTCACACCCATTTTGTATTATTTTTCATGAGTTCTTTGTTATTCAGTGTTGCATTATACTCCACTGTGTGAATATACCACAGCTTCTCTATCTACTGTTTGTTGATGGGCACTTGGGCTGTTTCCAACTCTGTGCTACTGAAAACAAAGTAGCAATAAATATGGGTGTGCATATATCTGCTTGAGTGGCAGTTCTTGTTTCTTTATGGTATATTCCCAGTAGTGGAATTGCTGAGCCAAATCGTATTTCCAATGAGGTGGTATGTTTGTCTTATAGATATAAGACTTATATATAAAAAGAGTGGGGAATGATAGGGTAGTATTAATAAGTTCAGATTTCTCTGTATAGGTATCAGTTATAAAACTATAGTTCTTTTTCTTTAGCCTGCAAAACTAGTTGCTTAGCCTCTGAATTCTCTGTTTCCTGGCTTTAGTCATGTAAAGTAGTTTGATCTGTCTGTTTACCAGAAGAGGAAATGCATCTATCCTAGATGCTGGTGAAGTTGGCTCTCCAATCATATGTAAATTGTATCTTAATCTGCCTGTTTACCAGGAAGAGAACTGGGGCCTTCCTGAATTACTGATACATGGATGGGAACTGTCCTTTTCAGATGTAGAAATTACCTTTTTTTACTAACAAAAGTGCATTGTTAAATGAGCTGGAGTTTCCCCCTAGTATATAAGGCCATGACCACTCCCAGAGGAGGCAGTCTTAGAGGTGACTCCCAGATCTGCGCAATAAAGTGCATTTATGGATATTGCAGTCCTTTTGTCTTATTGGTGACTGACTTATTGGGGTTCTTATTGGTGAAAGAACCCCTTGCGTCCAGTAACATTTCTATATTCTACTTTTTGAGAAAGCACCATACTGCCTTACATAGTGGTTGCACTCATTTTATACTCCCAACAACAGTGAATAAGGGTTCCAGTCTCTCCACAACCTCACCAACGTTTGTTGTTTGTGGTTCTGTTAAATTTTGCTATTCTTACTGGGATGAGATGATATCTCATAGTTGTTTTGATGGTGATTTTTTTTAAAGTTTTTGTTGTCTTTGTTGTCTTCCTTGTCTTTGTGTACTAACAAGCCAGAACTTACTCATAGCTGACCATCTGGGGAGTTTTCAGAAGCAGTATATTACACAGAAGGAGTTTATTCATCTCTCTCCTGAGGAGCAACAAACCTCCAGCCTTTTAGGTTGGCAACACAAAGGAGCTCTGGTGGCCTAGTGATAAGAAGCTGTGCTGCAATCCCAAAGGCACATGGTTCAAACTCACCAGCTGCTCCAGGGGAGAAGGATGGGCAGTCTCCTCCCATGGAATTAACTGCCTCTGAAAAATCTGCTGAAGGGTCCGTTATGGATCGGTTCTAACTTGATGGTACATAACAACAAACAAGAAACCACCAGGCAACACTCTCTCTCTCTCTCTCTCTCTCTCTGTGTGTGTGTAAAACCAAAACAACAAAAAAAACACCCCACTTTTATTACAGTCTATAGCACCAGGTGCAATGTCTAGGGACATTCCCTGAGTACAATGCTGTGTGCAGCTCACATAGTTCTGAGAAAGCCCTGGAGCAGGACTTAGATAGAAAAAG